TAATACTATTATTATTACTACCACTAATACTACTACTGCTACAACTACTACTACTACTACTAGTACTGCGACTACTGGTACTACTAATAATAGTACTACAATTACTAGTAGTAGTAATACTAGCGGTATTTTTATTAGTAGTAATAGAACAGGGAGTATTATTACCGGTAGTAGTATTACTAGTAGTAGTAGTACTAATAATATTAGTACTAGTAATTGTAGTACAGATATTAGTAGATCGAGGTGTATTATTATTAGTAGTAGCAGCATTATTAGTATTAGCACTAGTAGTCGTAGTACTTGAATTAGTATTACTAGGAGTATTATTTCTGGTAGTATTAATACTAGTAGTTGTCGTAAAACTGTGGAGACATGACTGACAAGCTTATTTTGTAAATAGTTTTCAATGTTATTTCTATTTATTTTGTCAATTTTTCACTGTATGTACATTTATCATTAAATGACTGTACGTATTGTTTTAGTCAATGACCTTGAACACTTTTTCCGCTGTAATTCGAACATAGCGTGACATATTCTTACTGGCTAACAAATACATTGCTACTCACACATCCTTCGTTCTATTCCCATTTGTGATTGAATTAGCTGAATTCTAAATCAAATATTATCATTATTTATAGACTGTAATTGGGATACATCACTTTCTACGTTGGGTTATATCACCAGAGAGTTCGCCAACCTGTTTGGAATTATCAAACATTTATAATTGTGGATTTACATTACCGGACCGAATCAGAACACGCAGTGTTTGGTCAATTTAAGTAACGTCCCTAATTTTTATCGTATTTGTAACAATTAACTATATATATATCAATATTACTATTGATCCTTAGTAACTTTGTTTATAATTTTTGCGTTCATATTTGTCTGGTCCACCACAAAACTAGTGGTAGTAGTACTAGTAGTATTAGTACTAGTATTATTAATACTAGCAATATTTCTACTAGTATTAGTAGTACTAAGAGTAGTAATACTAGTAGTCGTAATACTTGTAGCAGTATTACTAGTAGTATTATTACTGGTAGTTTCAATACTAGTAGTTTTTGTACAATTAGTGGTTGTGGCTTCAGAAGTTGTAGTAGTAGTAGTATTACTTTTCGTATTAGTACCAGTATTATTATTACTTTTGTTAGTTGTACTAATAGTTGTCTTACAAGGAGTGGTGGTAGTAGTAGTAGTAGTACTAGTAGAGGTAGTACTAATAGTAGTATTAATAGTATTAGTAGAACTATAATTAGTAATAACAATATTATTAGTACTAGTAGTAATATTACTGCTCATAGTACTACTAGTAGTTGTCGTACAAGGAGTGGTAATAGTAGTAGTAGTAGTAGTAATAGTAGTACTATTAAAAGTAGTACTAGTATTATTAGTATTAATAGAACTAGAACGAGTATTAATAGCAGTAGTATTACTGGTCGTAATACTGGTAGTAGTATTATTACTAGTTATAGTAGTACCAGTAGTAGAAGTTTTATTAGTAGTACTACCAGTAGTAGTGGTATTTTAAGTAGTAATACTAGTAGTAGTCGTACGTGTATTAGTAGTACTAGTAGTAGTATTACTGGTTGTAGTATTACTAGTATTTATCGTACAAGTTGTGGTAGTACTGGTAGGAGTAGTACTAGTAGTATTATTACTACCAGTAGTAGTACTAGTAGTAGTAGTACTAGTAGTAGTAGTACTAGAAGTAGTAGTACTAGCAGTAGTAGTGCCAATAGTAGTAGTACTAATAGTTCTAATACTACTAGTAGTCGTACTTGTAGTAGTACTACTAGTATTAGTATTACTGGTTGTCGTATTACTGGTATTATTCATACAAGTGGTGGTAGTACACGTATTGTTAGAACTAATAGTAGTAGTTCTAATAGTAGTATTACTATTAGTATTATTACTAGTAGTAGTAGAACCAGGATTGTTAATAATGATAGAATTAGTATTAGTAGTTGTCGTACAATTAGTGTTATTACTAGTAGTAGTATTACCAGTAGTATTAGTAATATTAGTAGTAGTAGTAGTAATAGTATTATTACTAGTAGTTGTAGTACTATTATTAGTAGTACCAGTAGTCGCAGTACCAGTAGTAGTAGTAGTACTTGTAGCAGTAGTAGTATTAGTAGAAATAATAATAAAAATATTACTAGTAGTACTAGTATAAGAATTAATATTACTAGTAGTAATAATACTAGAAGTCGTAAAAGTAGTGGTAGTACTAGTAGTATAATTACTAGTAGTAGTAGTAATAGAAGTAGTAGTACTAGGAGTAGCATTACTAGTATTACTATGACCAGCAGTATTAATATATATAGTAGTAATACTAGTAGATGTGGTGAAATTAGTGGTTGTACTAGTAGTAGTAGTACTATAATTAATATTACAATATTAATAGTACTAGTAGTAGAAGTACTATTAGTGATATTACTGGTAGTAGTAGTATTGGTAGTAGTATTACTGGTAGTAGTAATACCAGTGTTTGTCGTACAAGTAGTGGTAGAAGCATTAATATTCGAACTAATAGTAGTAGTACTAGTAGTAGTAGTACTATTAGTAGTAGTACTAGTAGTACTAGTATTTGTAGTAGTAGTAATATTAGTAGTATTACTGGTTGTATTAGCACTAGATTTTGTCGTAGAACTAGTGGTAGTATTAGTAGTATTAGTAGTACCAGCATTTGTGGTACTAATATTATTAGTAACAGTAGTAGTAGTACTAGAAGTAATACTACTGGCAGTAGTAGTACTAGTAGTTGTAGTACATGGATTGGTATTATTATTAGTAGTATTAATAGTAGAAGTACTGTTTGTAGTAGTACTAGTTATAGTAGTACCATTCTTAGTATTACTAGTAGTAGTATTACTACCATTTTTAGTATTATTAGTAGTACTTGTAATACTAGTGCTATTAGTAGTATTATTATTAGTAGTAGTAATAATAATAGTAGTACTAGTAGAAGTAGTACTAGTAGAAGTTGTACTAGTAGTAGTGTTACTAGTAGTAGCATTACTTGTAGCAGTAGTCTTATTAGTATTATTACTGGTAGTAGTATTACTAGTAATTGTCTTACATGTAGTGGTATTACTCGTAGTAGTAATACTAGTAGTAGTAGTACTGGTATTAATAGTACTAGGAGTATTAGTAATAATAGTAGTAGTACTAGCAGTAGTAGTACTAGTAAGTGTAGTACTAGCAGTAGTATTATTATTAGTTGTAATAATAATAGTAGTAGTACTATTAGTAGTCCTACTATTTATAGTAGTACTAGAATTAGTATTACTATTAGTAGTAATACAATTAGTAGTAGTACTAATAGTAGTAGTACTGGTACTAGTATTACTGGTAGTAGTATTACTAGTATTTGTCGTACAATTAGTGGTATTAATAGTAGTAGTATTACTAGCAGTAATTTTACTGGTAGTATAAGTACCAGTAGTTGTCCTTGAATTAGTGGCAGTAACAGTAGTAGTATTAGTAGTAGTACTAGTAGTACTAGTACTAATAGTAGTCCTACTATTGTTAGTAGTACTAATAGTAGTATTACAAGTAGTTATAATAATTGTCGTAGTATCGCTCTTAGTTATATTACTGGTGGTAATAATATTAGTAGTATTGGTAGTACTAGTAGTGGTAATACAAGTAGTAGTAGTAATATTAGTAGCAGTACTAGTAGTAGTATTACTGCTAGTAGTATTACTAGTAGTTTTCGTACAATTAGTGGTAGTAATAGTAGTATTGATATTATTACTATTAGTAGTAGTACTAGTTGTAGTAGTTGTTGTATTAGTAGTATTGTAGTAGTAGAACGAGGAGTAGTACTAATTGTAGCTGTATTACTAGTACTAGTAGTACTAACAGTAGTCGTTCTTGTAGTTGTATTACTAGTAGTATTATTACTGGTAGTAGGATTACTACTAGTTTTCGTACAAATAATATTAGTACTAGTATTTGTAGTCTTTGGAGTAGAAACACTGATAGTATATGTACTATTGTCGTAGTGATTGTAATAGTAGTGGAACGAGGACTAGTATTACCAGTAGTAGTATTATCAGTAGTAGTAGTACTAATATCAGTAGTTTTGGTAGTATTAGTACTAGTTTAGGTAGAACTATTAGTAGTAGTACCTGTAGTAGTAGTACTGGTAGTAGTAGTACTTGTAGTATTAATATTATTAGTAGTATTACTGGCAGTATTAGTAGTAGTAGTAGTAGTATTAGTAGTAGTACTAGTAGTAGTATAATAGCTTTCGTTGAACCAATATTAGTAGTACCAGTAGTACTAGTTCTAGTAGTAATTTTATTGGTATTAGTAGTGCTAGTAGTTGTCGTACAAGGAATGGTAGTAATAATAGCAGTAATACTAGTAGTAATATTACTAATAGTAGTAGTAGGAATAGTAGTTCTAGTAATAGTAGTACCAATATTAGTAGAACTACTAGTTATAGTACTAGTAATAGTAGAACTAGTAGTAGAAGTACCAGTAGCAGTAGTATTAATAGCAGTAGTACTAGTAGTAGTTTTGCTTTTAGTAGTTGTACTAGTAGTAGTATTACTGGTAGTAGTATTACTAGTAGTTTTCTTAAAAGTGTTGCATGTACTAGTAGCAGTAGTACAAGTAGAAATAGTGCTAATGGTATTAGTACTAGTAGTAGTAGTACAAGTGTTAGTAGAACGAGGAATATTATTACTTGTAGTAGTAATACTAGTAGTTGTCCTAGAAGTAGTGCTATACTAGTAGTAGTAGTACTAGTAGTAGTAATATTATTAGTACAGTACTATCAGTAGTAGTACTAGTAGTCGTAGTGCTTGTAGTAGTATTACTAGTAGTAGTATTACTGGTATTAGTAATAATAGCAGTTGTCTTAAAAGTAGTGGTAGTAGTAATAGTAGTAGTAGTACCAGTAGTAGTAGTTCTATTACTAGTATTACTAGTAGGTGTCGTACTTGAAATAGTAGTACTAGTAGTAGTATAAGTGGTATTAGTATTACCATTAGTTTTCGTATAATTGGTGGTAGTACTAGCAGCACTAGTACTAGTAGTAGTAGTATTAGTAGTAGTAGAACGAGGAGTATTGTTGCTGGTAGTAGTAGTACTAGTAGTAGTAGTAGTAGTAGTAATACCAATACTAATAGTAATAGTACTAAGAGTAGTAGTACAAGTAGTATTAGAACGAGGAGTATTATTAATATTAGGAGTAGCACCATTAGTATTAGTACTAGTAGTCGTAGTACTTGTAGTAGTATTACTAGTAGTAGTATTACTGGTGGAATTAATACTACAAGTTGTCGTACAAGTAGTGGTAGTAGTAGTAGTAGTAATAGTACCAGTATTAGTAGTACTATTAGTAATAGTACTAGTAGTAGTCCTACTTCTAGTAGTAGTAGTTGTATTAGTATTACTGGTAGTAGTATTGCTAGCAGTTTTCGTACAAATGGTGGTAGTACTAGTAGTGGTAGTACTAGTAGTAATAATATTAGTAGTAGTAGAACGAGGAGTATTATTACTGTTAGTAGTAATATTAGAAGAAATACTACTAGTAGTAGAAGTGCTGATACTAGTAGCACCAGTAGTATTAGTACAAATAGTTGTAGAACGAGGAGTATTATTAATAGTAGCAGTAGCTCTATTAATATTATTACTAGTAGTCGTAGTACATGTAGAAGTAGTATTACCAGTAGTTTTCATATAAGTGGTGGTAGTACTAGTAGTAGTAGTACTAGTAGCATTATTATTGGTCGTATTAATACTAGTAGTTTTATTACTGGTATTATTATTAATAGTAGTTGTCGTACAAGGAGTGGTAGAAATAGTAGCAGTAGTACTAGTAGTAATAGTACTTGTAGTATTAATACAAGTAGTAGTACTACTAGTAGTTATAGTACTATTTGTAGTAGTACTAGTAGTCGTAGTACCTTTAGTAATTTTACTAGTAGTAGTATTACTAGTAGTACTAATACTAGTAGTTGTCGTACAAGTAGTGGTAGCAGTAGTAGTAGTAGTTCTAGTAGTAGTAGTACTAGTTATAGTAGTACTAGTATTAGTAGTACTAGAAGTAGATGTACTAGAAGTAGTAGCACTAGTAGTTGTCGTTCAAGTAGTGGTAGTACTAGTAGTATTATTCCCAGAAGTAGTCGTACTAGTAGTAGTCGTACTAGTAGTACTAGTACTAGTAGTAGTAAAACGAGGAGTATTATTAATATTATTTGCAGTTATAATACTAGTAGTACTAGTAGTAGACATACTTGTAGTTCTAGTACTAGTGGTATTATTAATGGTAGTATTATTACTACTAGATTTCGTACAAGTAATGTTAGTACTTGTAGAAGTAGTATTTGTAGTAGTAGTACTAATAATTGTAGTACTTATAGTAGTAGTACTAGTAACAGTAGTGGAACGAGGAGTATTATTACTAGTACTAGTATTACTAATCGTAGTATTACGAGGAGTAGTATTGCTAGTAGTTGTATTACTGGTACCAGTAGTACCAGTAGTAGTCTTAATTGTAGTTGTAGTACTAGTTGTAGTATTACTGTTAGTATTAGTACTAGTAGTTGTCGTACAAGCAGTGGTAGTACTAGTACTAGTAGCACTAGTATTAATAGTACTAATAGTAGTAGTAGTAGTAGTACTAGTAATAGTAGTACGAATAGAAATAGTACTAGTAAAAGTAGAACTAGCAGTAGTAGACCTAGCATAAGAAGTACCAGCAGTAGTACTACTACTAGTAGTAGTACTATTGGTAGTCGTGCATGTAGTAGTAGTACGAATAGTAGTAGTACTGGTAGTAGTAGTAATACTAGTAGTAGTAGAACGAGGAGTATTATTACTTGTAGTAATAATACTAGTATTTATCCTACAAGTGGTGGTAGTTCTAGTAGTAGTATTACTAGTAGTAGTATTACTGGTAGTAGTAATACTAATAGTTTTCGTACAAGTAGTGATATTACTAGTAGTAGTAGTAACAGTATTAGTAGTACTATTAGTAATAGTACTAGTAGTAGTCGTAATTCTAGTAGTAGTAGTTGTATTATTATTACTGATAGTAGTATTGCTAGTAGTTTTCGTACAAGTGGTGGTAGTACTAGTGGTAGTAGTACTAGTAGTAATAATATTAGTAGTAGTAGAACGATGAGTATTATTACTGTTATTAGTAATACTAGTAGTAATACTACTAGTAGTAGAAGAACTAATACTAGTAGCACTAGTAGTATTAGTACAAATAGTAGTAGAACGAGGAGTATTATTAATAGTAGCAGTAGCTCTATTAATATTATTACTAGTAGTCGTAGTACATGTAGAAGTATTATTAGTAGTAGTAATAATGGTAGTATTTGTACAAGTAGTTGTCTTTAAAATTGTGGTAGTAGTAGTAGTAGTAATACTATTAGTAGTAGTAGTACTAATAATACAAGTATTATTACTACTAGAATTAGTAGTACTATTAGTAGTAGTACTAGTAGTCGTAAAACTTGTAGTAGTAATACTAGTAGTAATATTACTGGTAGTAGTAATACTAGTAGTTGTCGTAAAAGTAGTGGTAGTAGTACTAGTAGTAGTAGTAATAGTAGTAGTAGTAGTAGTAGTACTAATAGTAGTAGCACTAGTATTAATAGCAGTAATATTACTATTAATAATACTGGTAGAAATATTACTAGTTATAGTAGTGCTAGTAGTAGTATTACTATTATTAATATTACTACCAGTATTAATACTAGTAGTAGTAGTAACAGTAGTAGTAATACTAATAATAGTAGTATTAGTATTAGTAGTAACAATAGTACTAATACTAGTAGTAGTAGTACTAGTAGTACTAGTACTAATATTAATATTATTAGTAGTTGTCGTTCAAGTGGTGATATTACTAGTGATAGTATTACTAGTAGTGGTAGTACTAATTGTAGTAGGACTAGGGTCAGAATTACTTATAGTAGTAGTACTAGAAGCAGTAACAAATATAGTAGAAGTACTAGTATTTATGGTGCAAGTAGTTGTATTGCTAGTAGTAGTAGTACTAGTAGTAGTAGTATTAGTAGTATTAAATCTAATATTAGTTGTACTAGTAGTGGTTGTTCTAGTAGTAGTAGTACTAGCATTAGTATTACTAGTAGTATTAGAACTAGTAGTAGAAGTACTATTAGTTGTATTACTGGTAGTAGTAGTACTAGTATTAGTATGAATTTTAGTAGTAACACAGGTGTTTTTCGTACAGGTAGCAGTAGTAGCTTTAATAGTCGAACTGGTAGTAGTAATATAAGAAGTAGTAGTATTAGTAATAGTTGTACTAGTAGTAATAGTACTAGTTGTAGTTCTACTATTAGTAGTAGTACTCATAGTAGTACTACTAGTAGTATTATTACTAGTAGTAGTAGTACTAATAGTATTATTACTGGTAGTATTAGCACTAGTATTTGTCGCACATTTAGTGGTAGTATTATTAGTATTAGTACCACTAGTAGCAGTACTAATCTTAGGAGTACTAATATTAATATTACTAGCAATAATATTATTAGTACTATTACTAATAATATTAGTAGTACTATTAGTAGTAGTACTAGTAGTAGTTTTATAAGTAGTAGTAGTAACAGTAGTGTTAATACTTGTAGTAGTAGTAATAGTATTAGTAGTACTTGTAGTATTAGTAATAATAATAGTATTACTGTTAGTAATAGTACTGGTAGTAATATTACAACTAGTAGTATTACTATTAGTTGTCTTAAAGTAGTGGTATTACTAGTAGTATTAGTATAAGTAGTTGTCGTACAACTAGTGGTATTACTACCAGTAATAGTACTAGTGGTAGTAGTACTAATAGAAGTAGTACTACTGGTAGTAGTACTAGAAGTAATATTATTAGTAGTAGTATTACTAGTAGTTGTCGTACAAGCAGTAGTATTATTAGTAGTAGTACTACTATTTTTAGTATTACTAGTAGTAGTATTACTATTCGTAGTAGTACTAGTAGTAGTAGTAGTATTAGTAGTATTAGTACTAGTAGACTTAGTAATAATAGTTGTCGTAGAATAGTGGCATTACTGGTAGTAATACTACTATTAGTTTTCGTACAAGATGTGTTACTACTAGTGGTAGTAGTACGAGTAGTAGCCGTACTAGTAGTAGTAGTAATAACAGTAGTAATAACAGTAGTAGTAGTACTAGTAATAGTAGTACCAGCATTATTATTTGTAGTAGTAGTAGTAGTAGTATTACTGGTAGTAGTATTACTAATATTTGTCGTACAATTAGTGTTAGTACCAGTAATAGAATTACTAGTAGTAGTAGTACTAGTAGTAGTAGTAATATTATTAGTAGTATTAGTCGTAGTAATACTAGTAGACTTTCTAATAGTAGTTGTCGTACAAGTAGTGGTATAACCAGTAGTATTAGTACAATAGTAGTAGTACTAGCAGTAGTAGTACTAATAGTTGTAGTATTATTAACAGTATTACTAGTGGTAGTGGAACGAGGAGTAGTATTACTAGTAGTGGTAGAACAAGTAGTTGTCGTACAAGTAGTTGTAATACTAGTAGTAATGTTACTAGTAGTAGCAGTAGTAGTAATATTTTTACTAATATTAGTAGTACTATTCTTATTAGTACTTCTAGAAGCAGTATTTATTAGTATTATTAGTAGTTGTCGAAGTAGTAGTTGTAGTAATAGTAGTAGTCGTACTGTTAGTAGTAGTACTAGTAGTAGTAGTATTAGTAGTCGTACTAGTAGTAATAATACTAATAGTAGTAGAACCATTAGTAGTAGTACCAGTAGTAGCAGTATTAGTAGTAGTCTTACTGGTAGTATTAATACTATTTGTTGTCGTACAAGGAGTGGTACTAATAATATTAGTAATACTTGTAGTAGTAGTACTAGTAGTAGTAGTTGTAGTACTAGTATTAGTATTACTAGTAGTAGTATAACTGGAAGTAGTAGTTGTAGTAGTATTAGTAGTACTAGCAGTAGTATTACTGGTAGTTGAATTAGTAGTATTTGTCGTACAATTATTGGTAGAACCAGTATTAGTATTATAATAGTAGTAGTACTAGTAGTACTAGTACTAATAGTAGTATTACTAGTAGTAGTAGTACTAGTCGTAGTAGTACTTGTATTAGTAGTACTAGTAGTAGAATTACTGGTAGTAGTAATCCTAGCAGTTTTCGTACAAGCAGTGGTAGTACTTGTAGTATTATTTCTAATAGTAGTAGTACTATTAGTAGTAATACTAGTAGTAGTCGTACTTTTGGTAGTAGTACTAGTAGTAGTATTACTGGTAGTAGTATTACTAGTGGTTTTCTTACAAGTGCTGGTAGTACTAGTTGTAGCAGTACTAGTAGTATATTACTAGTAGTAGTAGAACATTACTGGTAGTAGTTGTACTAGTAGTAGTAGTAGTACAAGTAGTAGTAGAAGGAGGAGTATTATTACTACTAGTTGAAGTACTATTAGTAGTAGTACTAGTCGTCGTAGTACTTGTAGTAGTATTACTAGCATTATTATTACTGGTAGTTGTAATAGTAGTAGTTGTCGTACAAGTGTTAGTAGTAGTATTAGTAGTAATACTAGTAGTATTAGTACTAGCAGTGTTATTACTATTAGTAGTAGTAATAGTGGTAGTATGACTATAAGTAGTAGTACCATTATTAGTATTAGTAGTAGTACTTTTACTGGTATTGGTAGTATTAGTAGTTGTCGTACAAAGGGTGGTAGTAATAATATTAGTAGTACCTGTTGTATTAGTACTATTAATAGTAGTAGTATTAGTGGTAGTAGTACTAGTATTAGTAGTACTATTAGTAATAGCAGTGGTATTACTAGTAGTATTACTGGTAGTAATATTACTAGTTATAGTAGTACTAGTAGTAGTATTACTAGTAGTAGTAGTACTACCATTAATAATACTAATAGTGGTAGTACTAGTAGTAGCAGTACTAGTAGTTTTCCTACAACTAGTAGTAGTACCAGTATTAGTATTACTAGTAGTAGTAGTTTTAGTAGTATTATTACTAGTAGTATTAGTACTAATAATAGTAGTACTAGGAGTAGTATTACTATTAGTAGTAGTTCTAGTAGTAGTACCACATGTAGTAGTAATACTAGTAGTTTTGGTGCAATTAGTGGTAGTAATAATAGTAGGAGTACTAGTATTAGTATTACTAGTAATATTACTACTAATATTAATAATACTAGTAGTGGTTTTACTAGTAGCAGTAGTACTGGCATTGGTATTACTTGTAGTATAATTAGTAGTAGTAGAATGACTATTAGTATTTTTACTGGTAGTAGTACTACTAGTAGTTTTATTATTGGTACTGGTAATACTAGTTTTTGTCGTACAAGTAGTGGTAGTACCATTAATAGTAGAACTAGTAGTAGTAGTACTATTAGTAGTAGTACTGTAGTAAAGAAGAACATGGGTGAGGACAGCCAAATTGTATTTAGGACAAATTACAGAATTACTTGGTAAAATAGAAAAACCATATAGTAAATCGTTAATTTGCAAAATATCATTCTATCATATCAAACCGGACTGTTGCTTTTGCAAACATCAATCCATTGTCCCGCATTTCATTGCTCATGCGATTTCTTACAAATTCCATTGTTTTCTCGCTCTTCTTTTCTTGATCTTCTCCATCTTCTGCTGCCAGCCATTACGTTCTTTTGACTCACGTTATATACTACTTATATCAATATAAGTAGCACGCACCACACTCGTCCCCCCTTTTAACAAGTTGCTGTCGTAGTCTTTCTGATCTCCGTACCGCTGTGTTCTTTGGTGCTTTTCGTGATTCACACCCATGATGATCTTGAAACCATCTCTGTAGTTGACTAGCATTTACGCGCTTCTGCTTGTCTTCTCTCCGGATCGTGTAGACCGAGCCGCGTCTCTCCGTGATTACATACGGTCCTTCCCACTTTGGGGCCAGCTTCCCCGACCCTGCTCCCCCTGCTATGTTACTTTTTCGTTCTCTACACTTTACTAGGTCCCCCACTGCAAAGGGTTTCCACGTTCTCCTCTGTTGTTCTGCCTTCTTTGTGTCTGATATTTGTTTCTTTTCCACGTTCCTTATTGCCTCTCTCCTCTCTTTTCTTAACCTTGTTGTCGTCCACTTCTGTTGTTGTGGCCAGGTCTTATTATGCATTGGAAGTCGTGGTTGTCTGCCATACATGAGCAAGAAAGGTGACTTCTTGGTTGTTCCTTGTGTTGAGGAACGATGTGCCAGCAAAATCAATGGTAACTCTTTCTCCCAATTTCCTCCTTTTGATGCTAACCATTCCTTTAACGTCCGATTGTTTCTCTCTGTAAGCCCGTTTGTCTGAGGATGATATGGTGTAGTTCGTATTCTCTTGATGCCAAACTGCTTTAAACGGGCTTTAAACTCGTCACTTTCAAAACAGGGACCCTGGTCAGTTAATATCATCTTCGGTATTCCGTGACACGCTACAATATGCCGGATTACCACCTCGGTCACTGTCCTTGCCCGCTGGTCTGCAATGGGTACGGCATCTACCCAACGTGTGGCATGTTCCGTCATCACTAACAGATACTGGTTACCGCTAGCCGTCTGTGGAAACGGTCCCATCACATCAACCGACCATAGATCACCGACTGCGGTTACTGGGATTGACTGTAATGGCGGTTGTGTGTATCGATCGCTTTTCATTAGCTGACACTGCTGGCAGGTTAACACGTATTCAGCCACATCGTCTCTCATGCTCGGCCAGTATGCACTTTGTCGTAGTAAGTCCGTCGTTCTTGCGATGCCTGTATGTGCTACCTGGTGACACTCGTGTATCACTTTACGCCGCCAGTCTTTCGGGATCACCGCCACCCAATTTTCATCATCGTCCTGCCAGGTCAGCACTCCATATGAGTTCACTCTCAGTCGGTCCTTTTGCCGGAGCAGCGTTATTACCTCCTTGTCCATTGTTCGTTTATCTACGTCTGCTCCCTCTTTTATCACTCTGATTACCTCTCGAAGGTTAGGGTCAGCTTTCTGCTGCCGGACGAGTTCTAATGGGTCTCCCTCTAAACTATTCACCGCGTATGCTGTTAATGGCAGGTCGGCTTCCATATCTGGTCTTGACAAGTAATCTGCCATTACGTTTTCTTTTCCTGGAACATGGCCGATACTGAAATCGTATTCTTGCAGGCGTATCATCCATCGCGCCAACTTCCCGAGGGGGTCTCTTGCTGTTTTCAACCACTGCAGGGGTTTATGGTCCGTCTCAATGTGAAATCGTCTACCTAAAAGGTATGGTCTCCATTTTTCCACTGCCCACACGATCGCTAAACACTCCTTTTCGATGGTTGAATACTTCTGTTCAGCAGGTGTGAGGACGCGACTCGCGTATTCCACCACTCTATCAGCCTGACTCAACACAGCACCTATACCATGATCACTCGCGTCTGTGGCCACTGTAAACAGTCTTCCCGGTTCAGGCAGTCTAAGCGTCATCTGGCGATCGTCTAGCATGTTTTTGATTCGGTTGAACGTTTGTTCGGCAGTCTCAGTCCACGTAAACTTGGTGCTGCTCAATAACTTATATAAGGGTGCTGCTATTTCGTTGAAATTTTTGACAAACCGACTGTAGAACGCCGCTCTTCCCAGGAACTGTCTCAACTTCCTTTTCGAATTAGGTACTGCAATATTTTTTATGGTAAGAATTTTCTCCGGCAATGGTTTTATTTCTCCATTCCCCACTTTATGTCCCAACAATGTGACGCTACTTTTCGCTATCTGCGACTTGTCCTTATTAATCCGAAGTCCAAATTCGTCAATTCGCTTTAAGACCGCTTCCACATGTTTGATGTGATCTGTTTCTGTTTGACTGTACACAACTACATCGTCGCCATATACCTCGACATTATCTAGATTCTTGAGCAGTAGTGTCATTAATCTTCTGAACGTGAACGGTGCACCCGCCAACCCGAACGGCATTCGTTTAAATTGATACTGTTTATCCCGTACAGTAAACGCTGTCTTGCTCCGATCACTCTCTTTTATAGGCAGTTGCCAATAACCTGACCGTAAATCCAGCACTGTAAACACCGTGGCATTCTGTAGCCGATCTAATGTTTCCACCACTGTTGGCATTGCACAAGGCTTCAGGTCTGTTATATTATTCAATTCTCTGAAGTCGACACAAAATCTATACTTTCCATTTGGTTTCTTTACCAAGAGTATCGGCGAGCTATATGGGCTGTCCGCTTCCTCAATTATACCTTCTTTTAACATTTCCTGGACCTGACGATTTACCTCGGCCTCTAAATGCACCGGGACACGACGTGTTGCAAATATATTTACTCGACTGTTCTTTATCGGTATTTCGTGCTTTACTCTGTCACAAAATCCATACGGCTCCCCATCTCCAGTGAATAGTTTCGCATACTTTTTGCATAACTCGTGAATGTTTGGTTTCTTTGACGAGACATCCGCTGCAACTCTTATTTCAGCCACTTCGCTACTTTCGTGTATTGTCAATGAACCATATTTCGTGACCACCTTACCGCTTCTTAAGTCAACTATCGCTTTTACTTCTCTTAGGAAATCTGCTCCTAATATCGGTCTCGATAAGCTTGTGGTTACGACGAACGGAAAATTTATCTCCGCATCCCCCACTTTTACGATACTGTTAGATACACCAAACACCTCTAACATATGGCCCCCTATCGTGTGGACAGCTAATGTACACGGCTTGATTCTCTTACATTGCTCTTTGCCTATTAACGATACTGCTGCACCTGTATCGATCAGACAAACTAAATCTCGCTCATTTATGTTCACTCTCGTATATACTGCCCCTCTGTCTACTAACGCAACAATCCACAGATTCCTAGGATAGAAAGAACACTCGTTGTAACGTCTAACATATCTGCGTCTTCGTCTTGTTGGACAGTTTATCTTCCAATGTCCTGTCCCTCCACAAGCGTAACATTTATCGTTCCTTTTATTGTTCACTCGTATTGCTGCAATCTCGCGCTCCAGCTCCTCAATCTTCTTCTCGACATTACTCATCTCCTGCTTTCCGCACCCGACCGGAGCTACTGTTCGCGTCATCAGCTGACGAGTCACCTTCGCCAGTTCACTGATATCCATCGGTTGCGCTGCGTTCACCAGTTTCAGCTGTTGGGAGACGGTGGCAGGCACACTCTCGATAAACTACATAATTACATAATTACTTGGTAAAATAGAAAAACCATATAGTAAATCGTTAATTTGCAAAATATCATTCTATCATATCAAACCGGACTGTTGCTTTTGCAAACATCAATCCATTGTCCCGCATTTCATTGCTCATGCGATTTCTTACAAATTTCATTGTTTTCTCGCTCTTCTTTTCTTGATCTTCTCCATCTTCTGCTGCCAGACATTACGTTCTTTTGACTCACGTTATATACTACTTATATCAATATAAGTAGCACGCAGAAAAGTACAAGTAGTAGTTGTATTAGTAGTTGTAGTACAAGCAGTAGTAGTACTAGTAGTAGTAGTAATTATAGTAGTAGTAATAGTAGTAGTGGTACTTGTAGTATTAGTATTAATAGTAGCATTACTGGAAGAAGTAGCACTAGTATTTGTCGTACAAGTAGTCGTAGTAGTAGTAGTAGTAGTAGTAGTAGTAACAGTATTAGTAGTAGTAGTATTGTAGTGGTAGTATTGCAGTAGTATTACTAGTAGTAATATTAGTATTAGTAGTACTATTAGTAGTAGTACTAGTAGTATTAGTACTTGTAGTAGTAGTAAAAGTACTACTGGTACTAGTAGTAGTAGTACTAGTAGTAATATTACTAGTAGCAGTAGTACTAGTAGTTGTCGTAAAGAAGTGGTAGTACTACAAGTAGTAGTACTAGTGGTAGTAGTACTAATAGAAGTAGTATTACTGGTAGTAGTAATAGTAGTAATAGTACTAGTATTCGTAATACTAGTAGTTGTCGTACAAGCAGTAGTAGTATTAGTACTAGTATTACTAGTAGTAGTAGTACAAGTAGTTGGATTACTTGTAGTAGTAGTACTAGAAGTAGTAGTATTAGTAGTAGCAGAAATAATAGTGGTAGTAAAAGTAGTTGTCGTAGAAGTAGTGGTAGTACTAGTAGTAATACCACTATTGGTTGTCGTAAAATTAGTGGTGGTACTAGTGGTAGTAGTACTAGTAGTAGCCGTACTAGTAGTAGTAGTAGTACTAATAGTAGTAATATTAGTAGTAAAAGTACTAGTAGTAGTAAAACTAGTAGTAGTATTACTAATACTATTACTAGTACTAGTAGTACTAGCATTAGTATTACTAGTATTAGTAGTACTATTAGTAGTATCACTGGTAGTAGTAGTACTAGTATTTGTCATACAAGTAGTGAAGGTACTAGTTGTAGTAGTACTAGTAGTATTAGTACTAGTAGTTGTAGTACTAGTAGTAGTAGTACTAATAATAGTAGTACTATTAGCAGTAGTACTAGTAGTAATTGAACTAGGAGTAGTATTACTAGTAGTAGTAGAACAAGAAGTTGTTCTACAAGTAGTAGTAATATTAGTAGTAGTAATACTTGTAGTAGTAGTATTAGTAGAATTTGTACTAGTAGTAGTAGTACTATTATTCGTAGTACTAGTAGTAGCAGTATTTGTATGAGTAGTATTAGTAGTTCTCCAACAAGTAGTGGTAGTATTATTAGTACTAATACTGTTAGTAGTAGTACTAGTAGTAGTAGTATTAGTAGTTGTCGAACAAGTAGTGGTAGTATTATTATTAGTAGTACTGTTAGTAGTAGTACCAGTAGTATTAGTAGTAGTGATGTAGTAGTACTCGTAGTAGTAGTATCAGTAGTAGTAGTACTTGTAGTAGTTTTACTTGTAGTAGTAGTACTAGTAGTAATATAACTGGTAGAAGTAGCACAATTAATTGTCGTAAAAGTAGTCGTAGTACTTGTAGTAGTATTACTATAATTAGTATTACTGGTAGTAGTAATACTAGTAGTTGTCGTACAAGTATTGCTAGTAATAGTATAAGTACTACTAGAAGTAGTAGTACTAATAGTTATATTACTGGTAGTCGTAGTACCAGTAGTAGTAGAACAATTATTATTAGTGCCAGTATTAGTAGTACAAGTACTAGTAGAACGAGGAGCATTTTTACTAGCAGTAGTAGCACTATTAGTAATAGTATTGTAGTAATAGTAGTAGTACTAGTAGTAGTATTAATAGTATTAATACTAGTAGTAGTAGTACTAGTAGTAGTAGAACTATTAGTAGTATTACCTGTAGTAGTAGTACTAATAGTAGTATTAATGGTAGTAGTAAAACTAGTAGTTGTCGTACAGGGAGTGGTAGTACTCGTAGTAGTTATACTAGTAGTAGTAGTACTAGTAATAATAGTACCAGTAGTAGTAATAATGGTAGTAGTAGTACTGGTAATAGTCGTAAAAGGAGTCGTAGTAATAGTAGTAGTAGTACTAGTAGTTGTAGTACTAATTGTAATAGTAGTAGTAGTACTAACAGTAGTAGTACTACTATTAGTTGTACTAGTAGTCGTACAACTAGTAGTAATAGTACTAGTATTAGTAGTACTAGCCGTAGAATTACTGGTATTAGATGTACTATTTGTTGTCGTACAAGTAGTGGTATTACCAGTGGTATTAATATTAGTAGTAGTAGTACTATTAGTAATAGTACTAATAGTAGTAGTAATTATAGTAGTAGTACTAGTAGTAGTAGCACTTGTAGTAGCAGTACTGGTATTCGTAGTACTAATAGAAGTCGTACTTGTATTAGTCGTACTAGAAGTAGTATTACTGGTAGTAGTATTACTAGTGGTTTTCGTACAAGTAGTGGTAGAACTAGTAGTATTAATACTAGTAGTTGTAGTACTAGTAGTAGTAGTGCTAATAGTAGTAGTGCTAGTAGAATTAGTACTAGTAGTTGTAGAACGAGGAGTAGTATTACTATTAGTAGTAGTATTAGAAGTAGTAGTACTAGTAATAGTCCTACTTGCAGTAGTATTACTAGTCGTAGTATTACTGGGAGTAGTATTAATAATAGTTATCGTACAATTGATGGTAGTACTATTAGTAGTAGTACTAGTTATAATAGTACATGTAATAGTAGAACTAATAATAGTAATAATGTTAGTATTAGTACTAGTAATAGTAGTAGTATTAGTAGTACTAGAAGTAGTAGAATTAGTAGTAGTAGAACTATTAGTAGTAGTTACTACGAGTAGTTTTATTACTGATAGTATTAGTACTAGTATTTAACGTTAAAAAAGTGGTAGTACTAGTAGTATTAGTAGTAATAATAGTAGTAGTGGTAGTAGAAGTAGTAGTAGTACTAATTATATTAGTACTGGTAATAATAGTACTAGTAGTAGTAGAAATAGTAGTAGAAGTACCAGTAGTATTACCACTATTAGTAGTATTACTAATAGTAGTCGTGCTTGTAGTAGTGGTATTATTAGTAGTATTACAAATAGTAGTACCAGTAGTGGTAGAAGTTGGAGAAATATTACTAGTAGAAGTAGTACAAGTAGTAGTAGAAGTATTATTACTAGTATTATTAGTAGTATTACTGGAAGTATTAGTACTAGTAGTTGTAGTACTAATTATAGTAGTACTAGTAGTAGTATTAATAGTAGTAGTAGAACTATTAGTAATAGTTGCAGTAGTAGTAGTATTAGTAGTATTATTACTGGTAGTTGTACTAGTAGTTGTCGTACAAGCAGTGGTAGAATAAGTAGTAGTAATACTAGTAGTAGTAATACTAGTAGTCGTATTAGTAGTAGCAGTAGTACTGATAGTATTAGTACTAGTAGTATTAATATTAATAATAGTAGTAGTGGTAGTAGTAGGAGTAGTAGTACTAATTATATTAGTACTAGTAATAATAGTACTAGTAGTAGTAGAAATAGTATTAGAACTACCAGTATTAGTAGTACTATTAGTAGTAGTACTAGTAGTAGTCGTGCTTGTAGTAGTAGTACTAGTAGTAATATTACTGGTAGTAGTATTACCAGTAGTTTTCGTACAAGTGGTGGTAATACTAGTAGAAGTAATTCTAGTAGTAGTAGTACTAATAATAGTAGTACTAGTAGTAGTATTACTAGTAGTAGAAGAACGATGTGTATTATTTTTGGTAGTAGTATTACTAGTAGTTGACCTACAAGTAGTGGTAGTATTATTAGTAGTGGTACTAGTAGCAATAGTACTATTATTAGTACTATTAGGAGTAGTAGTAGTAGTAGTCATAATACTTGTAGTAGTTTTACTAGTAGAAGTATTGCTGGTAGAACTAATACTAGTAGTTGTCGTACAAATGGTGGTAGTAGTAGTAGTAGTATTACTAATAGTAGTGGTACGATTAGTAGTATTACTAGTAGTAGTCGTACTTTTAGTAGTATTACTAGTAGTAGTATTACTTGCAGTAGTATTACTAATAATCTTCGTACAAGTGGTGGAAGTACTAGAAATATTAGTACCAGTAGTGGTAGTAATAATAGTAGTATTACTAGTAGTAGTAGTACTAGTTGTAGTAGGACGACGAGTATTATTGCTGTTAGTATTAGTACTATTAGTAGCACTACGAGTATTGGCAGTACTAATAGTAGTCGTACTTGTGGTAGTAGTACTAGTAGTAGTAGAACGTGGAGTATTATTACTAGTATTGGTATTGCTATTAGTATTAGTACTAGTAGTCGTAGTACTTGAAGTACTATTAGTAGTAGTAGTATTACTGGTATTAGTAGTATTAGTAGTTGTCGTATAAGGAGTGGTAGTACTTGTATTAGTAGTGCTAGTAGTAGCAGTACTAGTAGTAGTTGTACTGTTAGTAGTACTACTAGTAGTCATAGCACTCGGAGGAATATTACTGTTAGTATTATTACTGGTAGTAATAATACTAGTAGTTGTCGCATAAGTAGTGGTAGTACTATTAGTAGTACTAAAAGTTGTAATAGTACTATTAGTAGTAGTACTAGTAGTCGTAGTACTTTTAGTAGAAATACTAGTAGTAGTATTACAGGTAGTCGTACTACTAGTAGTTGTAGTACAATTAGTGGTAGGGGTGGTAGTAGTAGTACTAGTAGTAGAAGTATTAGTAGTACTAGTACTATTAGTAGTAGTAACCGTAGTAGTGGAACTAAAAGTAATAGTACCAATAATAGTAGTACTATTAGTATTATTACGGGTATAAATATTACTGGTAGTTGTCGCACAAGGAGTGGTAGTACTAGTAGTAGTAGTAGCAGTAGGAGTAGTACTAGTAGTAGTAGAACTGGTAGTAGTATTAGTAGAAATAGTAGTAATAGTATTAGTAGTAATAGCAGTAGTATTCCTAGTAGTAGTACTGTTAATAATAGTACTAGTTATAATAGTAATAGTCGTCGTATTACTAGTAGTAGTAGTACTACCAGTAGTAGTACTACTATTATTACTACTAGTAGTGGTAGTACTAGTAGTATTATTACTACAAGTTGTAATGCTAATAATAGTACTACTAGTAGTAATAGTACCAGTAATAGTAGTACTAGTAGTTGTCGCAGAATTAGTGGTAGTACTAGTAGTATTATTACTAGTAGTAGTAGTACTAGTAGTCGTATTTCAAATAGTAATAGTACTAGTATTAGTAGTACTAGTAGTAGTACTACTAGGAGTAGTAGTACTATTAGTAGTAATAAATTTAGTAGCGTTACTAGTAGTTGTCGTGCAAGTAGTGGTAGTACTAATAGTTGTAGTACTAGTAGTAGTGCTATTAAGAGTACTATTAGTAATTCTTGTACTAGTAGTAGTAGTACTAGCACTTATATTACTAGTAGTATTAGTATTGTTAGTAAATGTACTATTAGGAGTATTACTGGTAGTAGTAGTACTAGTAGTAGTATTAATGTTAGGAGTAATACTAATATTTGTCGTACAAGTAGTAGTAGAAACTTTAATATTAGAACTAGTAATAGTAGTACTAGTAGTATTAGTACTAGTAGTAGCATTACTATTAGTAATCGTACTTGTAGAAGTTATTTTAGCAGTAGTAGTACTTGTAGCATTATTACTAATAGTAGTATTACTGGTAGTACTAGCATTAGTATTTGTCGCACAAGTAGTTGTAGTATTAGTAGTAGTATTACCAATTGTAGCAGTAATAGTAGTAGTACTAATATAAGTAGTATTAGTAGTAGTAGTAGTATTACTAGTAGGAATACTAGTAATTGTAGTACTATTATTAGTAGTACTAGTAGTAGTAATAATAGTGGTAGTATTACTAGTAGTAATAATACTTGTAGTAGTAGTAACACTATTAGTATTACTAGTAGTGTAAGTACTATTAGTGGTAGTACTGGTAGTTGTAGTACTAGTAGTATTGCTACTACTATTTTTCGTAAAATAGTGGTAGTACTAGTAGCATTAATACTAGTAGTTACCGTTCAAGTAGTGGTAGAACTACCAGTAGTAGTATTAGTGGTAGTAATACTAATACAATTATTACTACTGGTAGTAGTAGTAGATGTAATAGTATTACTAATATTAGTACTAATATTTGTCGTACATGCAATAGTAATATTAGTAGTAGTATTAATATTAGTAGTAATATTTTTAGTAGTATTACTTTTAGTTGTAGTAGTAATAATTGTAGTATTAGTAGTAGTAGTACTAGTAGTATTAACACTAGTAGTTGTCGTAGAAGTACTGATAGTACTAGTAGTAATACTGCTAATAATTGTCGTAGAATTAGTGGTAGTACTAGTGGCAGTAGTACTAGTAGTTGTCGTACTTGTAGTAGTAGTACTAGCAGTGGTTTATCTAATAGTAGTAATAGTAGTGGTAAAACTAGTATTAGTAGTACTATTAGTAATATTACTGGTAGTACTACTATTAGTACTTTTCGTAAAAGTACTGGTAGTACCAGTAGTAGTAGTACTAGTAGTAATAGTACTAGTAGTACTAGAACTAGTAATATTATTACTATTAGTAGTATTACTAGTAGTATTCGTACTTCTAGTAGTAGTATTATTAGTAGTATTTCTGGTAGAAGTATTACTAGTAGTTGTCATAAATGTAGTGGTCGTACCAGTAGTATTAGTACAAGTAGTAGTAGTACTAGCAGTACTAGTACTAATAATAGTAGCACTATTAGCAGTTGTACTATTGGTAGTAGATCCATGAGTAGTATTACTAGTAGTAGTATTACTGGTAGTAGTAATACTAGTGGTTGTCGGACAAGCAGTGGTAGTACTAGTAGTAGTATTTTTAGTAGTATTATTACTAGCAGTATTATTACTATTATTAGAATTACTGGTAGTAGTAGTACTAGTAGTTGTCGAACAAGCAGTGGTAGTACTAGTAATAGTAGTACTTGTAGTAGTAGTACTAGTAGTAGTAATACTAATAGTAGTAGTAGTGATAGTAGTAGTACTGGTATTAGTAATACCAACAGTAGTATTACTTGTAGTATTAGTAGTAGTAGTAGCAATATTACTAGTAGTTTTTGTACAAATAATGGTAGTATTAGCAGTAATAGTACTAGTAGTAGTTGTACTAGTAGTAGTAGTACTAGTAATAGGAGAACGAGGAGTAATATTACTAGTAGTAATAGTACTAGTAGTAGTAGTACTAGTAGATATCCTACAAAAAGTGGCAGGACTATTAGTAGCAGTACTGGTATTAGTAGTACTCATAGTAGTAGTACTAATAATAGTAGTACTATTAGTAGTATGACTAGTAGTTGCAGAACTAGGATTAATTTAACCAGTAGTAATAGTACTAATAGTAGTATTATTAGTAGTAATAGCACTAGTAGTAATAGTACTACCATTAGTATTACTAGTAGTAATAGTACTTGTAGTAGTATTTCTAGTAGTAGTGGTAGTAGTATTACTGGTAGTATTATTACTAATAATTGTCGTACAAATGGTTTTATTACTAGTAGTAGTAATACTAATATTAATACTACTATTAGTAGTAGTAATATTAGACGTATTACCAGTAGTAGTACTAGTATTAGTAGTACTTTTAGTAGTAGTACTTGCACTTGTCTTCAAGTAGAGGTTTTATTAGTATTAGTACAACTAGTAGTAGTAGTACTAATAGTAGTAGTACCGATATTAGTAGTACTATTAGTAATAGTACTTGTAGTATTAGTACTAGTAGTAGAAGTACTAGTAGTAGTAGTTTTATTAGTATTACTAGTGGTAGTAGTACTACTAGTTGTAGTACTTGTATTAATAATACGAGTAGTAGTATTACAATAATAGTAGTACTAGCAGTAATAATACTAGTAGTAATAAAACTTATAGTAGTAGTACTAGTAGTATTATTACTGGTAGTATTAATACTAATAATTGTCGTACAAGTAGTGGTTGTACTCGTAGTCGTAGTACTATTACTTCTCGTATACGTAGTGTTAGTACTATTATTAGTAGTACTGGGATTGTTAGTATTAATAGTAGTAGTACTATTAGTATTAGTACTAGTAATAGTAGTACTAGCAGTGGTATTACTAGTAGTAGTAATACTATTAGTATTAGTACTAGTTGTGGTAATAGTAATAGTAGTATTTCTAATAGTGGTATTATATTTATTAGTAATACTACAAGTTGTCGTACAAGTTGTAGTAGTACAAGTAGTAGTAGTACTATTAGTAAATGTACTAGTAGTAGTTGTACTATTATTAGTAGTACTAGTAGTAATATTACTAGTAGTAGCAGTACTTGTATTTGTCGTACAGGTAGTGGTAATACTAGTAGTAGTAGTATTATTAGTAGTAATACTTGTAGTTGTGGTACTATTTTTTATCGTACAATTAGTTGTAGTACTAGTAGTAGTAGTACTAGTATTAATATCAATTGTAGTATTAGTATTAATAATAGTAGCACTAGTATTTTTCGTACAAGTAATGGTAGTATTATTAATAGAATTACTATTAGTACTAATACATTTAGTAGAAATACTAGTAATTTGAGTAATAATATTGGAAATCGTAGTAGTACTATTACCAGTAGTAGTATAACTTGTAGTATTAATACTAGTAGTTCTCGTACAATTAGTAGTAATACTAGTATTCGTAGTATTATTATTACTAGTAGTATTAGTACTAGTAGTGGTAATAGTATTAGTAGTCTTACTAGTAGTAGTAATACTTGTAGTACTAATACTGCTATTTGTCGTACAAGATGTGGTAATACTAGCAGTAGTATTACTAGTAGTAGTAATACTAATAGCAATAGTGGTAGTAGTAGTAGTACTAATAGTAGTGTAACTGGTTGTAGTAATACTAGTAGTTGTCTTAAAAATGATGGTAGTACTATTAGTAGTAGTACTGGTAGTAGTATTACTTGTAGTAGTACTAGTATTAATAATACTTGTAGTGATAATATTTATAGTATTAGTACTAGTAGTATTAGAATTAGTAATAGTCGTACTAGCATTAGTATTACTAGAAGTAATAATACTTGTAGTAGTAGTACTAGTAGTAGTAGTACTAGTAGTATTATTACTCGTAGTGTTATTACTAATAGTTGTCGTACAAATAGTTGGATTACTAGTAATAGTAGCACTAGGCAGTAGTATTACTGTAAGTAGAAGTACTAGTTGTTGTCGTACAACTAGTGGTAGTACCAGTAGTAGTGGTATTAGTAGTAGTAGTACTAATAGTAGTATTAGTACTAGTAGTAGTAGTACTAGCAGTAGTAATACCAGTTGTAGTAGTACTTTTAGTAGTTGTTCTAGTAGTAGTATTACTGGTATTAGTAATACTAATAGTTGTCGTAAGAGTAGTGGTAGTACTAGTAGTAGTAGTACTAGTAGTAATAGTACTATTAGTGGTAATACTAGTCGTATTATTACTAGTAGTAGTAGTTCTAGTAATGGTAGTACTAGCAGTATTAGTACTAGTTGTGTTAGTACTAATAGTAGTTTTAATAATAATAATATTAGTAGTAGTAGTAATATTAGTGATAATATTAGAAAGATAAGTAGTATTACTAGTAGTTGTAGTACTAGTAGAAGTAGTACTAGTAGTAGTCGTACTTGTAGTAGTAGTACTGCTAATAGTATTACTGGTAGTAGTATTACTAGTACTTTTTGTGCAAGTAATGGTAGCACTAGTAGTATTAGTATTGGTAGTAGTAGTACTAATAGTATTAGTACTAGTTGTAGTAGTGCTAGTAGTAGTAGAACAGGAATAATTTTACTTATATTAGTAGTACTGGTAGTAATAGTAATTTTAGTACTAGTCGTATTATTACTGGTAGTAGTAGTACTAGTAGTAATAGTGCTAATATTCGTAGAACTAGTAGTATTATTACCAGTAATATTATAACTATTAGTAATAGTAACATTAGTGGTAGTGCTAGTACTAGTATTATTGTTAGTAGTAATACTAGTATTTGTCGTACAATGAGTCGTAATACTAGTAGTAGTAGTACTAGTAGTATAAAACTAGTAGTAGTAGTACCCATATCCCCGCCTGGAGTCCCTCCGGGGGCTACTGCCTGTCCCAAGCCCGGATAAATGAGGAGGGTTGGGCATGGGGTTAGCGTCCCCATCCCGTAGAAAACTAACTCGCTAAAAAAACGCTAACCAGAAAAAATTATTCAAACCTTTTAAACTCTGCCCTGGGAGTCAGAAGGTCTTCATTTAGAAGAATTATGACGCCTCATGATGAAAGCCGAATTCCTTCGGAAGTTACGAGGCCGATGCCCCTTCTGACAACCAGAGCAACCATTTATTTAGGTACATGGAATGTTCGTACAATGTGGGACACCGGAAGAGCCTTCCAATTGCTGCAGAAATGAGAAGATACAACCTAGAGGTACTTGGGATCAGTGAAACACATTGGACACAAGTTGGACAACAACGACTAACTACAGGAGAGCTCCTGTTATACTCCGGCCATGAAGAAGAAAATGCACCACATACACAAGGAGTTGCATTGATGCTGTCCAAACAAGCGCAAAATGCACTTATAGGATGGGAATCTCATGGACCAAGGATCATCAAAGCCTCGTTTAAAACAAAGAAAGAGGGCATTTCAATGAACATCATCCAATGCTATGCGCCTACCAACGACTACAATGAAGACGCTAAAGATCAATTCTACAATAGGCTGCAGTCAATCGTCGAGAAGTGCCCAACAAAGGACCTGACCATTCTGATGGGAGATTTCAACGCCAAGGTTGGAACGGACAACACTGGATATGAAGACATCATGGGACGACACGGACTGGGAGAAAGAAACGAAAATGGTGAGAGATTTGCAAATCTATGTGCCTTCAATAAGCTGGTCATAGGCGGCACCGTATTCCCACATAAACGCATACACAAAACCACATGGACTTCACCGGATCACTCTACACAAAACCAAATCGACCATATTCGCATCAACAAAACGTTCAGGAGGACTATAGAGGACGTGAGAACCAAGAGAGGAGCTGATATAGCATCAAATCATCACTTACTGGTCGCCAAGATGAAATTGAAACTCAAGAAGCACTGGACAACGGGGCAGACAGTATCACAAAAGTTCAATACGGCCTTTCTCCAGGATACTAACAAACTCAACAAATTCAATATAGTCCTCAGCAACAAGTTCCAGGCCTTTCATGATCTACTCAATGGAGAAGGAACTACTGTGGAGAGCAACTGGAAGGGGATCAAAGAGGCAATCACTTCAACATGTCATGAGGTCCTGGGTCACAAGAAGCACCACCACAAGGAATGGATCACTGTTGATACACTGGATAAGATTCAAGAAAGAAGAAACAAGAAGGCAGCGATCAATACCAGCCGAACAAGAGCAGAAAAAGCTAAGGCACAAGCTGAATACACGGAAATAAACAAACAAGTGAAGAGGAGCATCAGAACCGACAAACGTAAATATGTGGAAGATTTAGCAACGACGGCGGAAAAGGCTGCAAGAGAAGGAAACATGAGACAATTGTATGACACGACAAAGAAACTCTCTGGAAATCGCCGCAAACCAGAACGACCAGTGAAAAGCAAGGAAGGCAAGGTAATCACCAACATTGAAGAGCAACAAAACAGGTGGGTAGAACACTTCAAAGAACTCTTGAATCGACCAGCTCCACTGAACCCACCCAACATCGAAGCAGCACCCACGGACCTCCCAATCAATGTTGGCCCACCAACAATTGAAGAAGTCAGCATGGCCATCAGACAAATCAAGAGTGGCAAAGCAGCAGGACCGGACAACATCCCAGCAGAGGCACTAAAAGCAGACGTAGCGGCAACTGCAAGGATACTCCACATTCTCTTCAATAAGATTTGGGATGAGGAACAAGTACCAACAGACTGGAAAGAAGGACTTCTAATCAAAATACCGAAGAAAGGCGATCTCAGCAAGTGTGATAACTACAGGGGCATCACTCTTCTCTCAATACCGGGAAAAGTCTTCAACAGGGTATTGTTAAACAGGATGAAGGACTGCGTAGACGCCCAACTTCGTGACCAACAGGCAGGATTCCGTAAGGATAGATCGTGTACAGACCGAATTGCGACACTACGGACCATTATGGAACAATCAGTTGAATGGGATTCATCACTCTACATCGACTTCATTGACTACGAGAAGGCATTTGACAGCGTGGACAGAACAACACTGGAAACTTCTTCGACACTACGGCGTGCCTCAGAAGGTAGTCAATATCATACGGAATTC